TGGAACTCATGAGCAAAGTGGAGATTGGCAGCTGTCTTGGCCACAGCGACCACAAAGAGATCGATTTTAAAATCTCTGTTGGCAGGAGAAAAGGTCCATTAAACCTCAACTCTGGACATGAGGAGAGCAGACTTCAGGTTGCTCAGGGAATTAGTGAATAAGGTCCCCTGGGAAAATGTTATTGCAGGTGCTGGGGTCCATCAGTGCTGGTCACTTTTAAAACACCACCTGTTAAAAACACAGGAGCAGGCGATTCCCAAATGTTGGAAGTCAAGAAGGCAAGGCAGAAGACTGGTTTGGATGAACAGGGATCTTCTCTTGGAAATAAGGCCAAAAATAAGGGTATGGTCAGTGGAAGCAAGGTCAGGGGACGTGAAGAATACAAAGATGCTGCTCACCACTGTTAGGAGAAAATCTGTATGGTCAAAGCTCAACTGGAGTTGAGCTCCTCAAAGAGCTGGCTGATGTCATTGCAAAACCTCTCAAGGATTTTTGAGCAGTTTGGGAATCCAGACAAGTCCCAGCTGACTGGAAGCTGGTGAATGTTGTCCCGATTTTCAAGAAGGGCAAGAAGGAGGTCTGTGGAAATGTCCTGGGTTGTAAGATAAGTGTGTATTCTATTTGCCATCTGTTAGAGGTGTGGCAGTTTCCTTCTGTTAATTGGGCAGTTTTCTTTATCTCTTCCACAAACCAATCCTCCCTCTGGGGAGATATCTTCTGTTAATGGGCCATTGAGTCTCACTGCATGATTGATAAAATTACATCATCCCATTGTGAGATGCTCCGCCCAGGGGGAGGAGCCAAGCATTCCTTCCTGGATATAATCTGATATTTTGGAACATCAGAGCAGCCTTTTTCCACTGGATTCCCAGAGGAGTAGCTGTCTTCTCCACTGGATTCCCAGAGGAAGACCAGGCCCATCTACACCACCATTAGACCTTCAGAAGAAAACTACACCCTTCTACAGGATCACTGCTCCAACAGAACCACACCTGTCACTCCAGGAGGACAGCAGCCACCATTTAATAGGACTGCTACCATCACCCTGACCCACAGGGTATCAGGTCGTCTTCTGACTCTGTCAGTGTTTTGGGGTTTTCTTGTTTGTATTATTGCATTTGTATTTTTTAGTTTTCCTAGTAAATAACTGTTATTCCTATTCCCATATCTTTGCCTGAGAGCCTTTTAATTTCAAAATTATAACAATTTGAAGGGTGGCAGCCAGGAGGGCCTACGATGTCCTGGGGTATATTAGGCACAACAGTGCCAGCCAGTCAAAGGAGGTGATTGTCCCGCTTTGCTCTGCACTGGTGTGGCCTTACCTGGAATACTGTGTGCAGTTTTGGGCACTGCAATATAAGAAAGATATTAAGCTATTAGAGAGCATCCAGAGGAGGGCAGCAAAGATGGTGAAGGGCCTTGAGGGGAAGCCATATGAGGAGCAGCTGAGGTCACTTGGTCTGTTCAGCCAGGATAAGAGACTGATGAGGGACCTCATTGCAGTCTCCAACTTCCTTGTGAGGGAAAGAGGAGGGGCAGGCACTGATCTCTGTGGTGACCAGTGACAGGACCCAAGGCAAGGGCCTGAAGCTGTGTCAGGGGAGGTTTAGGTTAGATATGAGAAAAAGGTTCCTCACCCAGAGTGGTTGGGCACTAGAAAAAACAGGCTCCCCAAGGAAGTGGTCATACTACCAAGCCTTACAGAGTTCAAGAAATATTTGGACAATACTCTCAGGCACATGGTATGACTCTTGGGGATGGTCCTGTGCAGGGCCAGGAGTTGGACTTGATGATCCTTGTTAGTCCTGTTCAACTCATCATATCCTGTAATTCTGGGAATGCAGTGTCACACAAGTAGGAAAGTTGCATGACCTTTCAAATTAAGAAAGAATGAGGAAAAGTGTTCTGTAGCATAAATTCAGCCTATACTTTGTCAAGAAGTCAAGAACTCAAAGTGTCTATCCGATTCAATGTGATTGATGGAGAAGGGGTAAAATTGATACATCTTAACAGAAAAGCAAACACAGTTGTCAGATGATTCTAAAGGAGAAAAATAACATTTCCCAGCTTGAGTTATCAGAAAGGAGAAGGAAACATTCGTGATTCTTAGATTCTCTTTGCTCTGAATATCTTTATAAAAGAGAATTATTGCATGTAAGTTAAAACTTTTTTTAGTTTTTAAATAAAATTAGAAATATTCATAAAACTGTAAATAATAAAGATTGCTCCTAATGACTCAAGCTATAGTATTAAGCCCTTTATATCATGTTAAAGCATGATAGATTTATGAATACTGTAACATAAAATTTATACAAATATACAGTTATATACCAAACTTCTCAAATATATACTAAGCATGATTCATAACTGTGGCAGAACTCTTAGTTCAGAAATATAGTGTTTAAAAAAATGTAATTCAGCTTAATACATGCTTTTGTTTGTTTGTTTTTCTTACATGTAGCTCTTTTATCCTCTCCCCAACCCCCACAAGCATTAACTTCTGTGGTCTAGTACATACATGAGAATCTTTATATCCATTAAAATAAACAAGCAACTATATGGGTCAAGCTTTCCCCCCCTACACATTTCAGAAGAAAATCTGACCAAACTGTATCATAAACCCTGCAGAATAAGGATATAAACAGAAATAAAAAGTAAAAGATTTTTGCATGCTAGAGAACAGCAAAATTATATTAAACATGTTAGAATAAGAAATGCTGGTCTTTTATATATATGTATATTTAAACTTTTGTTTAAAATTACTATTATGTTAACCACAGTCCATTGTGATAAAAATATTAGGAAGACATCTGATCTTGCTTTTAAAATGTCTATTTTTCCATCAAAAAATTTACATCAAAACCTTCAAAGTTGGCAGTTTTTGCACAAAACATTGTGTAGGTAGCAGTTGGTTCATGGATTCCCAATTTTTTCAATGAAAATTTCTTATTTTTCTGTTGGAGAAACACCTCTTTTCTGAAAAGTATATTAGTATATCTGATTTTGCACAGAAAACAGACAGTACTAAGTTTTTCACCTTGTAAATATCACACAGTCATTCTAACTCCCTACTCTCTGCATTTAATCTATTTAGAATGCCTGGAATTTGGATATTTATTTTACCAAAATCTTTGCACACCTGAATTGATTTAGGGGATGAACAAAGATCTTCAAAATGACTTTATAGAGATACTGTTGGGATGGAATAAATAAAGCAGATCCACACTATTTTCATTAGTATCCAGTGAAAGGACAAAAGGCAATGGGCACAAATTGAATTGCAGGAAATTCTGCTTAAACATTAAAAAATTCTTTTTTTTTTTTTTTTACTCTAGGGCTGGTTGAGCACTGAAACAGTTTGCCCAGTAAGTTTGTGGAGTCTCCACCTTTAGAAAAATTAAAAACCCAACTGTACATGGGCTTGGGCAACCTGCCCTAGCTGACACTGCTCTGTGCTGCAGGTGTGTGTGTGTGGACTAGACAATTGCCAAAGGTGCTTTTCAACTAAATGACATTTTCTCTTTTTCAGTTTGTGCCCATTGCTCATTGTCCTGTTACTGGGCACTGCCAAGAAGAGTCTGGCTTTGTCTTTACTCCCTCCCTTCAGGTATTTATACACATTAATAAGATACCTGTGCTGCAGGATTACTGATTTCTATCTCAGCCACACCCACACCTGTGACTGGTATGGATCTCATTGACCTGGACCCCAAATTATGGATTTGCTTTCTGTCTTGACCTTGGACCTGTCTTGCCCCTAGGGACCTACCCAATGATCAGTGGACTGTGTCTGACCCTGGTTGTCCTCACCAGAACTGATTTGTGGACTGACTTCCTGGCTGGACCTTGCACCTGTGTCATCAGCACAAATTTGTCTGATGATCTGGACTCTCGGTTGAATCTGCCTACCATCTCCAGATCTGCCCTGCTCACTTCACTTGGATACTGCAGGACTAGGCCTAGGCTGGTGAGGTCTCTGCTGTGTATACCATGGTACTCAACTCCCAACTCCCCATTCCTTAAGTAGAAGACAGCCCTTGCTGCTCCCTGACAGGAAGACAGTTTTGAAAGCCTTGCTAAAGTCAATATAGACATAATCCACTGCTCTCTCTTCATCCACGGAGCCATTCACCTCATTTTAGAAGACTATTGGGTTGGTCAAGCATGATTTCCCCTTTGTAAATACATGCTGACAACTCCCAATAATCTTCTTGTCCTTCATAGGAAGGCTTTGGCTTTCCTAACATCATCCCTGCACAGTCAGACAGTCTATATATAGAGTCTATAGACAGACTCTATATTCCTCCTGGGTTCCCTGACATTGCTTCCACCTCTTGTATACTTTCTTTATATGTTTGAGCTTTGTCAGGAGCTCCTTGTTCATCCATGCAGGCCTTGTTCTACCTTTGTTTGACTTCCTGTATGTTGGGATGGACCATTCTTAAACTTCAAGGTATCCTTGAAAAATAAACCAGCTCTTCTGGACCCCTTTGCCCTATAGGACTGTCTCCCATGGGATTATTCCAAGCAGAGCCCAGAAGAGGCCCAAGTCTTCTCTGCTCAAGTCCAGGAGTTTGATGCATCAGTTCTTGCCAGGAGGAGGACATCAACACAAAGCTGAACCTAATCACAAGTTCTTCTATCATTTTTTATATGTGCTGAATAAAGAGATGAAAATGAACAGCAGAATTTGAAATTCAAAGCTCCTATTACCTTTTTCCCCCCCATCTTTTGATAAAATAACCAAAACCACCAAGAAGTGTCTGTTCTGAAGAATTGAATATCTTACTTTTTAAATCAATTTTTCAAATTTATGAGTTTTTAGATACGTCTACTGATATCAGACTCCAGTGATATCAACTGCTGAACTGACAAACCTTTATTTTTCCCAAAAGAAGTTAAAAAATTTCCATTAGAGATTCAACTTTGCCACATAAATGCAGACAAGTAAGGTTCCAAGAACTAGAAATATGAAAAAGTAGTTTCATATAACACTATACCTCTGTTTCTGCTGCATGGGTTGCTGTCTCATAGCCATATATTGCATGTCCTCTTGTAGCCGATTAAGGGGAGAATCTGGTTTGACACGAATCCCATAATAATGGTATTTAGAGTTCCCCCTTCATGAAAGAACAAAAATAACATTGTTTCTTTAGTATATACATCACATGTTAACATTTGCCTTGACTGGAAAACAGTACATAAAAGTTAGGCTTGTCTTTCTTCTCACTCTGGTATAAAACTGATATAAATCCACCAGCTTCTGAAAATCAGTTCACTTAAACTATATTTTCCAGCACTTTACTGTTGGGCTTCATTTAAATAGAATAAGGTAAATAAAAAAATCAACTAAATGACTTATGCAGTCATGGTGAATAAAACAATTCCATAAATGGGGTATGCTTGTGAGTGAGGGTTTGTGAATGTTTCACTAATCAACTTCAGTCCTGGTCAACTGGAAAGAAAGAACAGAATTGGGCTGTCTGTGTTCATGTTTATGGGAGTGTCTATATGGGTGCTAGTAAAGGCATTGCCCTGTGTTAGCTTCTGTGGTTAGCTGTGTTAGTGTCATGTGTGTGTTTGTCTGCATCTTTGGAACACATGTTAAGTCTCGCTACTATCTGGAGCTGCAAATGGAAACAGCAGTAGTTGCGTTGATTTGACTGAGATGGAAGATATCTAGGTCATAGGAGTACACAGAATCTGGCTATAGCAGACCAGGAGTTCCCTGAGTCCTGAAGTCTGCTGTATTTGGCAACTCCCTTAACAGAAAGGTTTTAAATATTTTTATTTGCTTATTTCCTTGCTTGTTTTTAACATATGAGCTTCATGTTCATGATTATTATTGATATTTTTCTGTTAAACTTTAAGATTTTATTAACACAAACCTGGTTCCCAGTCTTCTGGTCCGTAATCCCATGAAGATTGACCGTATGAGTTTTCCAAAGGAGGCAGCATTGACTGGATCCAACTTGTGCTCCTGACAGTGTCGTAAGTAATGGTTGTAAAGGGTACTTCTGGGGAGACTCACGCCTTCTGCAGTTTCATAGTTGTCTAAAAGCCATTGGAGCTATGTCAAATATGAAAGAGTGAACATATATAAATTCAGTATTACTCTACTGAAAACCCCCACTTAATTGTACAACATAGAACTGATATTTTTTAGACCACTCAAGGCCTGTTTAATACAGTGACTTTGTTCTTTGAGCAAATATAATCTCTTTAAATCTCTTTCAATGCTAGATATGCCATGATGCCTTAGTTTTGGAATTTTTTTTTAGGTTTACAAGGAAATAACAAGACTCACGACACCTGTGAGCTCAGATAGCTCCACTTCTAAAAATATTTCAGATTCAGTACCATACATTAACATTTTATGAAGTTATATGTGCTTTCGAGAAAAATTGCTGGAACTCCAAAGAAATAAAATAACCAATGTAATTTATATTAATTGCATTTTAAAAAACCCTAATAGAACTAAGTTGATACATTTTTAATTCTGAAATTATATACTATTTCTCTTCACATGGAATTAAAAAAATACAAATAAAAAACCCCAGTACTACATTTATCTGAATAGGGTTTATTGTCTTCCAAATACAAAGAAGAAACTATCAAATATAAGGTAAAAAGCAATCTAGATGACATGAAAAATAACTTGTATAGCTATAAAGCATCATGGGCCCAATCCCTTTCTGTTGTAGCCTGTTTGCTTCTGACTTCTAAGAGGAACAGAGTTAACTTTTTTTTTTTCCTGTGTAATCTATTGCAGAATTTTGGTGAGTAATTTTGGAAGCATTTAGGCAAACAGTTTCTAATACATGACTGTACCTCTGTATATAACAAATAGTAACTAACATAGCTTCACAGAATATTCTGAGTTGGAAGGGACCCACAAGGATCAAGTTCAACTCTTAAGTAAATGGCCCATAAAAGGATTGAACCTACAACCTTGGTGTAACTGGCACCATGCTCTAACCAACTGAGCTAATCTCAGGGTCATGCACACTAAACTCAAGTAAAATGGTCATTTAAATATTTACCAGTATAAGAAAACAAAAAAAAAAAAAAAAAAGGAAATATTTTTATAGTTTTTATGTATCAGCAGTCCTGACTAATGGGGGAGGTCCCACTTGACTAGAAGTTAGCAAACCTATAAGGAGGGCCAGGAGGAGGATACAGGGAACTACAAGCCTGTCAGTCTGACTTCAGTGCCAGGGAACATTATGGAGCAGATCATCCTGAGTGCCATCCCATAGTACATACAGGACACCCAGGGGATCAGGCCCAGTCAGCATTGGTTTAGGAAAGGCAGGTCCTGCTTGACTAACTTGGTTTCCTATGACAAGGTGATGCACTCAGTGGATGAAGGAAAGGCTGTGGATGTTGTCTACTTGAACCTTAGTAAGGCCTTTGACGGTGTTTCCCAGTGCATTCTCCTGAAGAAGCTGGTTGCTTATGGCTTGGACAGGCATACTGTTTGCTGGGTAAAAATATGGGTGGACGGATGGGCCAAAAGAGTGGTGGTTAATGGAATTACATCCATTTGGTGGCTTGGTGCTTCCCAGGGCTCAGTATTTGGGCCAGTTCTGATTAATATCTTTATCAATTATATAGGGGATTGAGTGCACCTGTTGAGAGTTTTTTGCAGAACAGACGTGTACAACATATGCACAATCCAGCCTTCATAGAAACTGAGTAAATCACCATGCCCTTGAAGGACACGAAAGGAGAAGAACACACTCAAAAGCAGACAGTTCAGGATGCAAAGGCAGACAAGAAAACCGCAGCGAGATGCCTGAAGAAGGAAGATCAACTAAAATTAACTGATATATTAAAATGCATGCGTAAAAGGATTTAACCAATCGTGAATTAGCTTGAGGCATGAACAATAGAAAACAGTATAAATATAGCTTGCTTTTTGTAATAAATCGGCTTCACTTGATCATACTGATCATGGCATGATGTCCCGTTAATGATCCTCCGCAATACCCTCAGTAAGTTTGCAGATGACACCAAGTTGGGTGGGAGTGTTAATCTGCTGGAGGGTAGGAAGGTTCTGCAGACCTTGTATGAGGCTAAACAAGGTGAAGTGCATGGTCCTGCACCTGGGTCACAACAACCCCATGCAGCACTACAGGCTTGGGTAAGAGTGGCTGGAAAACTGCTGGTCAGAAAAGGATCTGGGTGTGCCGGTTGACAGCTGACTGAACAAGCCAGTGTGTGCTCACGTGGCCAAAAAGGCTGATGGCATCCTGGCTTGTATCAGCAATAATTTGGCCAGCAGGGCTAGGGGAATGATTGCCCCCCTGTACTCAGCAGCTGTGAGGCCAAACCTCTAATCCTGTGTTCAGTTTTGGGCCACTCATTACAAGAAAGACACTGAGGTGCTAGAGTGTGTCCAAAGAAGAGCAATGAAGCTGGTGAAGGGTCTGGAGCACAAGTCCTATGAGGAGCAGCTGAGGAAACTAGGGTTGTTTAGCATGGAGAAGAGGAGGCTCAGAGGGGACCTTATCACTCTCTCTACAACTACCTGAAAGGAGCTTGTAGTGATGTAGGTGTCATTCTCTATAAGTAACAAGCAGTAGGACAAGAGTAAATGGAAATATAGGAAAATTTTCTTCAATGAAAGTGTTGTCAAGCATTGGAACAGGCTGCTCAGTGAAGTGGTTGAGTCACCAAGCCTGGATGTGTTTAAAAGACATGTAGCTGTGGCACTTAGGGACATGGCTTAGTGGTGGACTTGGCAGTGTTATCAGTTGGACTTGATCTTAGAGGTCTTTTCCAACCTAAATTATCCTTTGATTCTATATTTAACTTATGGGGTTTCAGATTTTTGAGGATACTATCATTTTACTTAGCTTATCCCTTCCTTCCCCCATGGTGTCATATCCTTGGAATTTCCCTTGAATTTCCACATTTTGTTTTTGTCTTGTATTTACTAATTACTTAAGAAAGTAATTATGCCAAAATGAATTAGAATGAACATCCAAATTTTCTAGGTTCACAAATCTTAGAAAAAGTCTGGACTTAGTTTGAGCATCCAATAAATCCCCAAACCATGGATTTGGTTTTGGCATTTGGAACAAAGTTTTATTCCATTATGCTGGACCCTCACATGATTGTTTAATTCATTTCACTTTAGACCACCAAAGTAATTAATATGACCAAGATATGTGTTTAAAGTACAGTAAAATAGATAATTATGTGACACTGAATATGCTACTCTTCAGGGCTACTTACTAATAGATCACTGAACTAATTCTGTTCTAGCAATGTTCCATATAACTTGTCATTTACAGAACAAGAATATCAATATTTTAGTGCCCATTACTCTTGAAATGTTTCCACTCTGACCCTTCTTTATTGCAGAACTATTAGTAAAAATTAGATTATAATGAATATATTGAATTAGATTATAATGAATATATTGGACATACAATTCTGTTTAAGTCAGTTGTGAGCAATTTACTGAACACAATACATGAAAAATTTAAAAAAAAATTAGGAAAACATTTACTTGAGACCTTTCAAACAACATCTTCATGTTTACTTTCTTACAGAAAACATTACCAGAACTATCATGCTTAGGTTTCTAAACAAGAGCTCTGTGTAAAGATGTAGGAAAAGCATGATCTAGCTGTTTGCAAGATGGATGTAGATAATATTGCACTTTAAATAAACATTAAAAAGTGCAGTTCATCATCCTTATATCAACTTTTAGGTATAAATGCAGTCCTAACATTCACAATTTTTTATTAACTTGAGCATTTACAATTCTGAAACAAAGCCTAGGAAAAATATTTTAAACTTTTACCTTTACATGAGTGTATTATCAAAACCATTTCACTATATCTTAATTATAGCCTTCAAACTTATCATTTAAGCTATACCAATTAGTTTATGGAATATGAGCAATTTGTTTTATCTCACAAAGAAAAAAAAAATACTGACAATACCCCCAAATTATTTCCAATTTAACTTCTAAATATAGTATTAGAATCTTTTCTACATTAATTATAATTTATTAGGATTCATTTCAGTGCATTTTACTAATGATCTGTATTTGACAGATATTCTTTCAACCACAGCTTGGCATTAGCCAACTATGGGAAAGCAAAACCCAAGATAAGGATATTTGCTCCAGGGTGAAAATATTTCAATAAAAAAAGGTTGACATGATTATTTGGCAGGTTACAGCCTTCAAAGAAGAATATCAATAGCTGAATGCCATGTAAAAAAGTAAATAATCTGAAGACATGATAACATTATTGCAAACAGCCTTAAATACATTTTTGTATTTACAGAAATCTGATTCTAAAATTGAAATGTCTACACTTTGACTTGTTTTATAATATTAACAACATTGGAATGGTATGAAATGGTTTATGCAGAATGGGTAAATTGACTACAACTTCAATGGAACTCCAATATTTAAAAATAATTTTATTATAAATTAGTCAACTCAATCACATACAGAAAGAAATTAGGAAAGGAAAGAAAATAAAGGAAAATTTAAAAAAAATACATTAAAATAAACAGGTATTGTAGCAGTGTGGGGTTTAGATAGTGGTTGCTGCTACCTATATTCCCCAGTAAGCATCTCCTGTGGAAAAGCCACTTGGGTAAGCATTCAGGCAAAGCAGTCAAGTCCATACACACCATGGCAAGCTCAGTGAAGAGAGGCAGAAGGGCCTTTTATATGGTCAGTTCCAAAGAGGTTTATTTCAGCACACCGAAGGGAAACCAGAGATAAAAGACGAACCATGTGCTCTGCACAAGGTTTAAGTAGGGGAGGGTATGGGGGCGGTACAAAGGGCAGGGCAAAGGTGATTGGCTTTCAGGGAAGACTGGGCTGGCCACCATGGATACCACAACCAATGAGGGAACAGGGAAAGGAGAAACCAGGGGAAATTGGGACATATGGGGAAAGGAACTGGGATGGATCACTGTTAAGCAAGAGTCCATGAGGAAGACCTTTCTGTCCGCCCAGGTGGGGAAAGACTCTATGGTAAGTCTCTCCAAGGGAGGGCTCTGGGGATTTCCCTGAGGGGGAAGGAATCAGAGGATTCCCCAAGGTATTAATTAAGGCAACAAAATGCCAGCTTAAGTAAGAAGATAGGACTAAAACCATATTTACTGTCCTTATTTGAGTCATAATTCAATAAAAGTTTCTAAGAAAGGGAAAATATCTGGGTTCCGTTAATTTCTTCCAAAATGACTGAGTCTAGGAAAGAACATTTATTACAGCAAGACACCTGGAGGTCTTTTTTTCCCCCCCACAGAATCCACAATAGATCCTCTATTTGTCTTTCAGTAGTTTTGAAAATACCTCAGAACAGTTAAGAAACATCAGAATAAGACTACCATAACAGACAGATGCAAATCTCCTTATTAGAAAGATATTTTCATAAAATCATAGAATAGTTTGGGTTGGAAGGGACCTTTAAAGGTTGTCAAGTCCAATTCCCCTTCAGTGATTAGGGACATTTTCAACTGGATCAGGTTGCACAGAGGCCCATCCAACCTGACCATGAACACTTCCAGGGACAGGGCAGCCACAACTTCTCTGTGCAACCTGATTGTCCCAATGTCTCACAATCCTCATTGTAAAAAACTTCCTTCCTTATGTTCAGTTTAAATCTATCCTCTTCCAGTTTAAAACCATTGCTCTTTTTGCTGTCACTACAGGCCCTGGTAAAAAGTGTCTCTCCGTCTTTCTCATAAGCCCCCTTCAAGTACAGAAAGGTTGCAATAAGGTCTCCATGGAGCCTTCTCCAGGCTGAAAAACCTCAACTCTGCCTTTCTTCATAGGAGAGGTGTTCCAGCCCTCTGATCATTTTAGTGGCCCTACTTAGACCCACTCTATCCCACTATCTAAGCTGTTGATGAAGTTATTAAATGGCAATGGTCCTAGTACAGGCCTTTGAGGGATGCAACTCATTACTGATCCTTGTTTGGACATTGAGCTGTTTGTTGTAATGCTTTGGATGCAGCCATTCAGCCAGTTTCTTATCTATCTAAGAGTCTACCCATCAAACCCATCTCTCTCAAATTTAGCAGCAGGAATGGTGTAGGGGGCTGTATTGAAGGCCTTGCAGATGTCTAGATAGGTGACATCCATACCTCTCCCTTTGTCCACCAAATCAGTCGCTCCATTGTGCAAGGCCACTAGATTAGTTAGGCATGATTTGTCCTTGCTGAAGCCACGTTGGCCGTCTCTAATAACCTCCCTGTGTTCCATGGTTCCTCCTCTTCCAGGAGGATCTGTTCCATGATCTTTTAACTAGTACATTACACAGGAAACAGGGGAATGCAGTTTTCTGATGTAGAAAAGCTTGTTATTTAATTCCTATTGTTTTCATCATGAAGATTCTGGATTTCCTTGTCAGATTCAAGGCAGATTTAGCAATTGTTTGTATATCTAAGTTTTAATACATATTTTTGGCATTTTGGAAAGAAGTTATCAACTATTTAATTATGATGCTAAAATAATTTTAGCCTGTTTCTAGGTTGTCTTAACATGATCTAAATCTCTTTCTTCACACTTTACAGAATTCAATTTCCTTTACCTAATTTTAGCATTTTCTAAGAAAACTAAATTCTCTTCCAAGAAATTGTACTGGCTGTCTTTTTCTACCATGATGATAAACTTTTACAAAAAATTTTGGTATTCACCTCCATATTACCACATTCTTGGGGGGGGGAATGTCAACAAATCAAAATAAGTGTACAGACTACCCAATATACTCATACATTCATTTTACAATCAATATTTACTTTTCTGTGGTAAAGAAATACAAGAATCTGAAAAAATATGTAGGTTTATGTTTGTTAGTAAGGCTGAGAAGAAAAAAGGATGCAGTATGTATAGCAATTTAGCAGCAATTAAAAATACAAAACTACCAGCTGAAGAAAAACCATTTTGTTTGCACAACATTTCAAGAAAGACTAGCACTATTTAAAAACAAACTGAAAATTAAATTTTGAGTCTTACTCCTTTACCTAAAAGTTATATTTAATGGCTTTGCTACTATATTTGCAACCATCTTTTTATGCAAACATCTTCAGCCTTTTATTATGGAAAATTCCTAACTACAGGATTTGTAAAGACAGAAGAAGAAAACATATTAGACACTAACAGATTGTTTTAATTTTTAAATCTCATGAGATGGATCTACAGAATTGTTACACTAAACTTATTCAGAATAATAGAAATATTTGAAAAGAAATCTAAAGTATATTTTTATCCGAACTGTGTGCACTACTTCTTTCCCTCTTTACCTGCTCTTAAATTATTATATCAGGTACACAAATTATAGAAAATTATTTTTGAATGTCAAACACAGACTACCTAAGGTTTATTTGGTTATTATTTTTACATTTACATTGGGACCTGCAAAATAGACAAATATGTTAAGTTGCGTTAACACAATACAGAACCTAGAAAAGAAATGCACTCTACAGTGTCATGACACTTAGCCTGACAAAATATAGTGACATAAGATGTAGATTACAAGCAAGTAAAATGGAAAAATTACAAGTAAAAAATAGCAATAAATTAAAGCAAACATTTAGAGGCAGGCTAAGCATGCAGAACAAGATAGAGATTAGCTTTCATGAAAGAAGCGACAACTTACATGGCTGTTGAGAAGAGAGCTTCTGTGAGTAGAAAGACCATCAGACTTTTGAAGTGTCTCAATCGCCATCTCAATCTGATAATAGATGTCATTAGAAAATGACTCAAGACAGTATAAAAGACTAATCAGAAAAATTCTGATAGGTTCCCTTAAGTTCAACAGAAATATCTAGTTTGGTCAGAGCTAAGGGATATTTTCTGCTTTAAGGCCTCATCCTGAAGTCCTCATGAAGGCAAACCTCCTAGTGATGTCAGGGTGGCATTTTACTTGCATATATACTGCAGGATCCCACTTTCAAAGTCCAATTTACCTTCCTTCCTACTCATGATATAAGAGTAGATTTACTAGTAAGCTACATTGCAAACAGTAAAAAATTACTGAACAATCAGTGTTTTGAATAGAAAAAAAACCCAGAATAAAATCCTTAGAAATGCCTCAGTGTTTCTTCCTCTAAGTATTTGAGAAAGAACTGTGCACACTTTGAGTGTGAATAAGAAGCAAAATTTCTGCTCTCTGCAACCATGGAGTAAAATCTCAGTCATTCAGTAGATTTTCTGCCATTAGCTTCATTGTACAAGATATCACCCCCTACAGCCTGTTAGAGCGTTCTTTGAATCTCCAGAGCTCTCAAAGTAAATGGAAATTGGAGGCTTACACAGACAGCAAGATCCATCCTTAAAAGAAAATAAAAAATCAGATGGGTTCAAAATAATACTTTTAAAGGAAAAAAGTATTATAAACCACTAATTATACAGTAGCATTACTCCTAATACAAATGAGTAAAGACAACCATAACCATTCCTATTCTTCCCTTCCATATTAATACATCTTATTAATTCAATAATGACAACAATAAAAATAAAATTACAATCTAACTGTAGTTTAGATGCAGAGCTAGAATAGCAAAAACATTGAAAGTCATTGAGACAATGGGATGTACAGTAAAAGAAGGCACATAATGACCCACATTAAATGGAAAAGACAGAAAAGCAATGGAACAGCATCTGTACATTTTAAACCACTTATATCCACTGTTGACAGTTTAAAAATAAATCTTCCCTACACTTCTTAAATTATTACACTATTATCCAAAGAGTTTATACTGGTAAATTGCATTACTGAGTTCACTCAATATGCAGCACAAAACTGAAAAATATTTTAGATTATGTTTCACTTAGTGCATAAATAAAATGTGGTTTCCCCTTTTTTATAAACTAATCAAGTAGTATTCTTACTGTAGGAACTCAATGAAAAAGGAAGTCTTTCTTACAACTGTTTACTATTAGAAATATGCCTTTTGATAAAAGCATACTAGATCTGATGAGTATGCAAGAAATATTGCAAAAATAATGTTTGAACACAGATTTTTTTTTTCTTGCATCAGTAGAAAATACTATTAAGTCAAACTATTCAATCAGACAGAAAAGGTCAAATTTAAAAGGATACTGTATATTAAAAATTAGAAGTTTAAGATTTCATCATACTAAGATCAACTCACTATATAGTACAACCATAGACTCTCCCATTTTAGCATGATATTATAACATCATGCATAATTTAAATCATAATTCTGAATCTCACTCCACTCTTTGACAATACCTTTTCTACAGCAGTACTACAGGGCTGAAGCCTTGCTGCTCGTTCAAGCTATTACACTACCTTCTCACTTCACTGAGACAAGTTTTTGTGACCTGTTCAAAGAACCAATTTTTTAAAATCATAAATTATGAAGATATATATATATATATATATATATATATAATCATAGAATCATAGAATGGTTTGGGTTGGAAGGGACCTTAAGAATCATCCAGTTCCAACCTCTCCACCATGGGCAGAGACACATTCCATTAGACAAGGTTGCTGAGACCTCCATCCAACCTGGCCTTGAATGCTTCCAGGGATGAGATAGCCACAACTTCTCTGGGAAACCTGTGCCAGGGCCTCACCACTCTCACAGTAAAGAATTCTTCCTAATATCTAATCTCAACCTACTCTTAGTCTGAAGTCATTCCCCCTTATCCTGTCACTACATGCTCTTGTAAAATGTCCCTCTCAAGCTTTCCTGTTGGCTCCCTTCAGGTACTGAAAGGCCACAATAAGGTCTCCCCAAAGCCTTCTCTTCTCGAGGCTGAACAACCCCCAGCTCTCTCAGCCTTTCTTCAGAGGAGAGGTGCTTCAGCCCTCTGATCAATCTTGGTGGCCTCCAGGGTGGGTCTCACCAGAGTGAAGTAAAGGGGCAGAATCACCTCCCTTACCCTGCTGACCATGCTGCTTCTGTTGAAGCCCAGGGTACCATCGGCTTTCTAGGCTGCAAGCACGCATTGTGAGCTTGTGTCCAGTGTCTCATCCACCAGCACCTCCAAGTCCTTCTCAGCAGGGCTGTTCTCCATCAGTTCATCCCCCTGTGCAGCACCTTGCACTTGGCCTTGTTAAAACTTAAGAGGTTCTCATGGGCCCAGAATTTATGCTTGTCCAGGTCCCTCTGGATGGCATCCCATCTTTCAGGTGTGTCAACTGTACCACTCATCTTGGTGTTGCCAGCATACCCATGGCCACAGATCCATAGATTTTAAAGCCAGAGATCTTAATGATTACTATGATCAGCTTGTCTTATTTTTTTTGAATAATGTAGGTCAAGAAGTGTTCATTGCCTCTAAAATTCACCCTTAATTCACTTTTCATTAATTTCATGAAGTATTACTGAACTAGAGCAGGTCTTCCAGAAAGACTTTTGATCTATATTTGAAATTATAAGTATTCATCATATTCTAACATAACTTGTTCCAATAGTAATTATTTTCGTTATTAAACATTTTGTGCAGTATTCCTTGTCTAAATTTTGATGAGTTGCCTTTTAAGCTTTACCTGTATTGTGGGTTTGGTTTTTTCAGCGAATTTTCTCCCATTTGTTACCTGAAAAGGGGGACACTGAGAGGAAATGGGAAAATGAATGACGGGCAATTAAGGTACAAAAGAACTGGCCAACGACCCTTGCATTCCAGTGAAAGCTTCGGGGAGGGACGGCAGGAATCGGGAATTGGGCACTGGCTTGCTGAGGGGGGAACCAACTAGCTGGGCTGAGATCAGGGCAGTGCAGGTGGTTTTGGTGCTGGACACTTGCTGCTGGGGAATTCTTGCTGCTTGCAGGAGCTGCCAGTTGATGGGGACTTTTCAGGACTCGCCATTACTGGGAAGACCCATGCCTATGTGCATGGGTGCTTCAGGGGAAACCGGACCCCCCCCCACACACACAACTCCTCCCTCCCTTTCTCCGGAGCTGCTGATTTAACTGGAACCTCAGCTGCTGCCATCACCGGGATACCATATCGTGCACATGAGAACCCGGGGAAAACCATACTCTCTCCCCACCCCACACTTTCTCTCTCTCTCTCTGAGGCTGCCATTACTCAGTGGGGAGGCTCAGGGCTTGCATTGGCCACCCTCTGAAGCCGCAGGGGAGTCGCTGTAGCCTCTCCACCTTGACATGAGCCAACAGCCCCCCCTGCTTGGTTGTGGTCATAACTACACCAAAGGGAAACTCGCTTAACAGATGGGAAAAGGCTGTCATTCGGTTTTCTTTTTTTTTTTTTTTTTTTTTTTTTTTTTTTTTTCTTGCTGTTGTTTGTTTTGTCATATATATATATATAGTCTAGTAAAGAGCTGTTATTCCTTTTCCCATATCTTTGCCTGGAAGCCCCGTAATTTCAAAGTCATAATAATTTGGAGGGAGAGGGTCATCTTTCCATTCCAGGGGGGCTTCCTGCCTTCATTGGCAGACATCTGTCTTTTAAACCAGGACAATGTGCTACTGAAATATCTCTTTACCATCAGGTAACTTTTTCCCATGCAGGGACCTAACCATAGACAAAGCAGCTCTTAACCTTCTCTAACATGTAGTTAATGGCTTACCCTGAAAGCAGATTTTCTAGACAAGGAATCATTTGTCTGGCTCATTTTGAAAACTTTCAGCTACTTCTGGGTTCTCTCTCATTCAAATTTATTTTATTTTTAAAAATCCCAAGCTTCTGATAGGCTTGAGTCCTCAGGCTTTCAAAATGTTCTATGTGAAACAGTCCCCTGCATGTTGGGGAAGTAACAAAACTTTAATGGCAAGTATTTTTAATCATATATCCCAAATTAAATAGTGGTTATCCAAAATAGTGGGGTTTTCTTTTTAATTGTAGCCTTGACATTTTGGAAAAAATACAAAAATAAGTTGAACATTTGAAATTATGCACATATTGTTGAAATTATATTATTCACATATCGAGGTTAATTAATTACATTCCTTACATTTCTAAGGACAATCAATCAGAAGTTACAGGCCTATTTAACAACTGGAATGCTAATTGATAAAAAAAATCACACCCCAATCAGTTTGAATGTGTGATCAGTCATACATTTCTTCTCACTGAAAAACCATTTCTGTATGAAAAGTAATTTAGTAATATGTTTTGACTGATAACTGAAAAAAGTTATCATTCCCACAGCATCCCCAACCAAAGCATGTTAAACATATCTGCATTACTAATTACTAATACATGTAATCATGAGTGTACATGTTAATATAAACATGGGTGGGGAAATGACAACATGATAATAATGGGAATTGTGATTTTAGACTTCTATGTCAGTTCACTCAGTTTGCCTTCTAAAATGCTAATTTTCTATCTGCCGTAGTCATTAATGGTTGAGAAGGGTAGAACATTTCTGTGGATAATAAATTCAAAACTGTGATTATTATATGTCAACTAAATCCTACAATGTTCAGCCTTTATGTAATCTTATTAACTGTTATTTTTAAAGTCTTTTTGTCCATTAACATTTTATCAGATGAACATATACATTAACATCTCAGATGTCTCTATAGTATATACGTAGAAAAACACTTAAAAATCCCCAATTCACATTGAAAAACTTCCTAAAAATCAATGGCAAAGAAAACTTATTTTCTTCATGATTCAAGTATTTGACACAAAATACTTAAGTTGTCCTGAGGAGGTCAGGACATAAGGAAAAAAAAGTCCTCAGAAATTTGAGCTCTAAGTTACTGAAATTAAAATGGACATCCT